TCAATGGTGTTCTCCACCAATCAGCAGCTGATTCAATGGTGTTCTCCCCTAATCAACTGCTGACTTGACAGCAGCAGCTGACTTAGAATCTAAACTACGTACGTACTTTATTCTAGGAATCCCGTTAGTAGTACTGTTTACCAAGATAGACCTGGCCTGTACTCAGACTCGTGAAAACCTACTCCATGTCTTCCACAGCCAGCGAATCCAAAACAAAGTGCGCATGATCAGCAAGAACCTTCGTAGCCTACCAACCAATAAGATCTTTCCAATCAAAAACTACGAATGGGAGACCGAGCTCAATCCACACGTGAACAGTCTATCACTGCTGGCCTTAAGACAGATGCTTCGCTTCGCTCAGAACTACGTCGAAGAAAAATCTGATCAAATTTATGAGATGGGTACCCTTTGGAGTCGACGTACCGCGCATGAATGGGTTCTCATCTTAATTGTGTTCCTAACTGCCTTCTTTTTGTTCGTGTATTTTACACTTGGTGAATTCATGTTTGTATCGATCGATTCAGGAGAAGCGTTCACTAATTCCGAAGAGGCAGAGTTTCTTATTTGAAGAAAGATACCACGGAAAGATGCTTGGCCTTGATGGTTTTCTTACTAGTGCAGTATCTACTAATAAGGCAGGATTTATGGCTGRAAAAAAAACACGATTAAATTCTTCAGCTCTCCTTGCAGTACCTTATCTTCAATCAATAACTCTTTAACTAATGTGTCGAAAAACGTTTAGCGTTCCACAAGTGGTAACACTAATCGGGAACATCTGAGTCATCCAGTGATTGGTTGGCTCCTAAGCCCTCTACTCAGATGGTAGATTTTCTGGTACCAAAATAAAACTGTTCATGAGGATTTGTTTCTGGTGAAAAACGCTTTGGAAGATTTCACTGAACTAAAGAAATTACTCACTAAGTCGTAAAATATTACCGTATTGAGTCGCTAGAAGGAAACGGCGCTTGAAATCATGAAATGGAGCGACCTCTTCTCATCACGGATTGATTATGAGGTAACGGGGGCAGAGGTAATAACATAGTATCCACAATACTATGAGATGAGGGCTGCTACAAGAACTATCTTGGAACTGATGCTGAATAAATCCAAAAAAATAGAAAAACATCAATAAAATATTCACCAAAAACGAATATAGATCTCTTTAATTTATTTTATTTCCAATGGCTGTAAATCACAGCGCAGAAAGACTTCCAATGTATACCGGATTTCCTGAAACCAGAGCGTAAATTTAAATGAAAATTACTCATGAACGCGGTTGCGCGTAAGTTGCACCGTCACCGGGCCTTCAGGAAAAGCGCAAATTCTATAGATTTAAAATTTCATCCAACATTTCGAAAAAATAATGCAAAAAAAWATATTCTTTAAAGAAATGGAAAGAAACAAAATCTTCTTTGCTCGAGTTTAATCGTTTTAGTTTGAACAAGAAACTTCTCCTGACTGTCGTTACCGGGCCCCGCTCGTCTGCATCCCAGCCACAATCGATAGTGGAACGCCTGGTGGAAATTAGTCGTAATCACGGATTCGGAAGCCATGTCTTTTTGCTCTTGGTCAGCCAGCGAAAGATACAAAGATCACTTTGAAGCAGGTATGAAACACAGAAAAACAAAAACATAAATGAAATTTTTTTCCTACATAAAAAGTGTTGCATTGTGTGACGGGTTATTGTTGCGATAGTTTGATACGTTCGTTCTGATAGCTTGTGAAACTTACACTATTTAAAAAATATAACTCTAATAATTGATCTCAAAAAGTGTATATTAAATTTTTGACGAGAAAACACTCAGTCCCCCACAATTTCAATCGGCCTCAGATTTCTGATTTCAGATATCCAACCGACAACGTTTTTTGAAATAGGTGTATACACATGGCTATTATAGGAAATATCTTCAACATATATCCTTGCTTCATCCTCCAGATATGTACCTTGTGTCAATGAGGGAGGTGTATCAATCTTATCAGTGGCAGACTTAAGGGTGGATGCAGGGTGCCAGTGACCCTCCCTTTCCACCTCAGAATTAACTGGTTACAGTATGAACATATATCATATTTTTTAATTGCTAAAATGGTGCATCTTCTTGATTTTGTGACCCCCCTTCTCAAAATCATAGATCTGCTATTCCTATAGACTAGCTCAGCTTCTAATATTGATATACATACTACGTCTCTAAAAGAGCTGTATTGGCCCCATATTTACTACTGCAGTACTGATTACATATACTTGCTTCACACATTTCGATTATCACTCTGATGAAGGCAAGGGCAGATGCAGGGGGGCAAAGGGGGACTGAAGCCACCTTCCGCAGAAAAAAACAAAGCAAAACAAAACTGAAGAATTAGATGCATTTTTATTGTTTTCCATTGTGTTGACGGAAGAAACTCGATTAGCCCCCCCCCCTAAACTCAATTAGCCCCCCTAAAGTTATGGCTGGATCTGCTCTTGGAAGGCTATCACTTGTTATAGCTATCCGTAATCTTACATTTTTAAATATTGAAATATCATGTCTAAATGCAAAAGCCTCAAACATACAACTAAAGCAGTACTTCGTAAAGCTAATGTAATGACAAAGAGCATTTGTGATACAGCAACAATAACCAAGTTTATTGAGGTGCTAACTGCTAAAATTAACTAGAAGTCGTTTGATTATTATCAATGAAATTTCTTCCAATCCTACAGGAATCTATGTGTGTGCAAAGTGTGGCAACCAACTGTTTCATGCTAAAGCAAAATATGCTCACCACACTCCATGGCCTGCCTTTTCAGAAACAATAAATAGTAGCAGTGTTGCTAAAGAAGTAGAAACTGAGCCTCAAAGCTCGTCAGATGCAAAAGCACTAAAGGTACCAATAGTTAATCACTCAATATGTAAGAAAAAATTGTTTAAGAGGAAACATAACAAGCCACAAGCCCTGCATGTTTAGAATATTCCTGGGGGATTAAGAGAGAAGTGTGAAGCTTTTGTTTTATAGCCAGCAGGACTCCTAACTGGAAAGACCGCTTTATAATGAAACGTGTTGATCAAATCAACTCGCTTGTCATTCTGTGGTTATTACCATGGTAACATAGGGATCCTGGTGTTTGCAATAAAATTGGGCTAGCGGCTTGTTATGATATTCAATGTCTTCATTGTTTCAAAAAAATCTTTCTTGATGAACAATCTTGTACCTAGAACCATGCATGATAATGTGCATAGCTAACTCATGGGTTGAATAACTGGCAAAGAAACATAAAAAACCTTGAATCAAGGGAGACTTATTAGACTTATTAGGCTGTTTAAGGTAAAGCAGCATTTCATCATATTAATTTCTGTATCTCATAACTTTCTTTTATTTAAGGTCTTTTGTGGAAAGTGTCGAGCTGCACTAGGCCATGAATTTTTGAAGGATGGACCAAACGAAAGCTCAAGATTCTGAATATACTCAGACACACTGCAGTTTGTTGCAGCCAAACAAACTGCTGAACAAAGCAGCGTGTCTTACAAGCCAGTGACAGAAGAATCTTAATATTTGAATACATAATGTATCTTATGTCAATACGTAGATATCTGTTTAATGTTAGAATACAAGTTCTAGCTAGGTAGAAAAATAGTTGACTGAAGACTTTACCTGTTTCTTGGTCCATAGATTTTATGAAGTTTCCAGCCAGCAGCCATATTATGTGGAAGGTTGTTAACTGAAAGTGGTTCTATGGTAAAAAAGAATAAAATACCTATTTGTGAGACAGACTCCAGATGGCTTTGATGTGAATAGACCTGTGTACATTAGGAGTTAATGAACTCTTATTTCAGACTATGTGTCAATAAGATTATTTGTTTAAATAGACCATCTTGGCTTGGGTGTAATGTTGTCCCATTTCATTCCCTTGAGAATGAGATTCTTTGTTTGATTTGTATCCATATTCATGTGTCTTCTCTCGTGCAACTGAGGGCAACCATTAAACAAAGAAAGGATACTCTAGGGAATGACACATGGTCTGAAATTGGACAACATTACTTCCAAGCCTAGGAGGTCTATTGTATCCATATTCATGTTTCTTCTCGTGTGCAACTGTTAAACAAAGAAATGATACTCTAGAGAATCATACATGTTCTGTAATGGGAAAGCATTTATGCCCGAGCTAGAAAGGGTCTATTACTAGGGGAAAGGAAGGGAATGAGACTAATACAATAATTGGTATGACATTTGCAAGGTGCCTGCCACATTTTTTCCYCTAGAATGAAATCCAAAATAGGCTAACTAATTTTAGGGATAGCAAATAACTTACAAATCAAAAGCATTTAAAAATTAATAAGCTACAAGAATAATGGTCTTAATACTTTTAAAGATAAGGGAATTAGCTATACTCACTTCCACAACAGTGACTGGTCTGTTCCCCCCTCCATTATCCTGAAAGCAGAGGAATTTTTTAAAACCTTCTCCCATCTCCCAAAAAAATGATTTTAAACTACTTACCAACCATTCTTGAAGAACAGGAGTTTGAGGAACATGGAACAATATGCATATTCATACGAAACTGTCTTCCCGTACGTACACGTGGAACTACTTTATATGCTTTACGAATTTTCGCGCCAAAATTTAAAAGGGCGCATACAGCCGTCGAACGACACACACAAAGCGCCTGGCTAATGAGACAGACATAAGTAAAATTATGTCAATATCTAAGAGTGGTTCAAAAAACAGCTCATAAGTAATGAGGAATTTTGGCTCTTTTGCTTTAGCTATTTTTTGGCGACTGTTTTAAATATTAGTAAAAGATTTTTTTGCGCGGAAATAGATCACGTGACCGGATGAGGATATGATGTGGTCAGCGGATATATGAACAAAACTAATGGAGCCGGACTGCGGAAGGATGTAAAATAGTTGAAAAAAATCCATATTTGCTCATCATTTACTTGATTATATGATTAATACAGTGGATAAAAAGTATCATTCCACCACCTTTGTCGACTTGGGCAAACATCTGAAACAAGAGACAATGAAAGATGCTCAAAAAAGGGATTTTGTTATTCAGAGTTGGACTATTTACTGTACGTTCGTTGGCGTACAACAAAGCAAATTCCAGGGCGATTGTTCTGGATGCGGCCTTCAAGCCTGTGTTCTGGGTAGTGGATAAGCTTGTTAGCGTTTTAGGACCGGTAAGTATGGAGAACGGTTCAATTTTTTAAAAATGTATCATAAAAAAATATATGTTTATTTATGGGATCCCTGTGGTTGAATTTTGCTAATTGGGATGAGCAAAACAAAATAAATGAGAAATCTAAAATGAGAAATGAATGGATAAAAAGCATTAAAAAGATCTTTCCTCGACAAATATTTCATATTCTTTAGTTGCATATGTAATTTATCATGAAAATACTTATTCTTGTTTTTGTATTTTTTTCCAGGCTTTTGTTCTTCTTGTGGTTGGCCTTATTTCAACTGTTGTTATTATTTATTACACATCAATATTACCAACAATCCTTGAGGAACACATTCTGTGGATTGTCATTCATATTGTTGTGGCACACTGGCTCTTGTTGAATATTTCTTTTCATTATTTTAAATCTGTTTTTACCAGCCCAGGCCATCCACCAAAGGTAATGTATATTCATACACATTGGTTTAAACATTAGTATTTTCTGCACCAATCATGCACTTTGAATCTTTTGATTTTAAGTGCCATTAAAGTGCTTAATCCTTTGTAGTATCTACAAATTTGTGCCGCAGACGTCTGGCAAGGCAGGCTAACAAATATGATTTTTGATTTAGGAGGAAAAACTGCCTGGCAATGTTAGAGATTTCCTAATTTGTAGAATATGTGAGTATGTTAATGAAAATATATCCATCTGCCTCTGTCAGATAAATTAGGGATAAGTTACTAATGGACAGAGGAGATAAAGAATGCTCTATTGACCTCCTTAAAAACATCTTTGCAATCAGCATTAAATATTGATCTTAGTCTAAGCTTTTATCTCATGAACGTATATAAGACTAAATGTTTCAATCTTGACATGCTTTGTTCTCATTGTTACCATCCCAAGGTTTGCATCCCAAGCCACAAAGGACTCATCATTGTTCCATATGTAAAAAGTAAGAAGTGCATGTGTTTCTATGTAAATCCTGTTTTTTTTTTTTTACCCATTAAACCTGCATGATTGTCATTGTTCAACCTGACTTAGTCCTTACTCAATTGCAGGTGCATCTTAAAGATGGATCATCATTGCCGTATCCTTATCTTTATATAGTTTGTTATAAATGTTAAATTTATGAAATATCTCATTTTAATCATCCATGGTGTAAAATTCATAGCATCACTTTTTCCTCAACCTACATGACAGCTTGGATAAATAACTGTGTAGGCCATTTTAATCATCGTTACTTCATTCTTTTCTGTATCTACATGTGTCTTGGGTCATTCTATGTTGCTGTTTGTTCATGGGAATTATTCATGGAGCATTTCTTTGATGACAAGGCAAGTATACGTTAAGTAATATGTAGTTGGTTTTTGTGTCACAAATGTTTTGGGGGAGGGGAATGGAGGGGGTTATTTGATGAGGTTACTAGAAGGGACCTCCCTTGGAAAATCATGAAAACACCTTTGTACATACTACAGATCACAGAGGGAATATGACAGAGAACTAAAGAAATAGAATATACTAACATGAACTTAAACATTCCACAGAAAACTGAAAAAGATAAATCAACAGAAACTCAAATGCAAGAAAAGGTAATTATTATAATAAAATCTTACAAAACTGGACGTCACAGAAAAAAGAGAAAAGGGAGGCCCCTTGCTCCTCAGTTAGCAAGGGGATCTATCTTATTTAGGGGTTTAATGTTTTACCATTTTACATTCCTCGACTTTCCCCAGCCCTCAATGTTATTTTATTCTAGTATTGACAAGTCTTAAAACTCCAGTGTTTAGCCTCACTTCTGAAGTTGGTAAACAAAACCAGGAATTAGAATAACAAAACAAGTAACTCCTGGATTCAAGGCTAAGCCCGCCTCCACTGGAGGTTTAAGAGTTGTCAACCCTTTGAAATTTTCTTTGAAGCAAGGTTAACAGGAAAATACAATATTGAAAATAATTTGTGATATTTTTTCAGTATTTTCATGTTAACTTTGCACCAAAGATAATTTTGAGAAGGGTCTGAATTAAAACTTTTTTTTTTGTTCTTTTAGATTGCCGTCATGTTTGGAAGATACAGGAGTTATTCTGACTTTGAACACAACAGCATCATATTTGTATTCATGCTGTGTTCAGCTGTGTCGTTAGCGCTAGGTTTCCTTACAGCTTGGCATGTCTTGCTGATTGTCAAGGGTGAAACGTCAATAGAGTTGCACATCAATAAGTCCAATAGGATCGCATTTCGAAAGAAAGGATATGTGAGTATATTATAATATATATGTGTATATTGTAAGCATTGTTGACATATATGTTCACGACATAATTACTTTTTATCACACATAATTAACACTGTAATTTACTTACACAAACACCTGCATCAGGGCTAATTATAACGGTTACTCAATAGCTGGACATGATGTCTAGCAAAGACTAATCAACATGTGATCAGTCAATGTGACTGATCAAGAGGACTGGCCTAAGAGGCCTTTGGCCAAAGAAGTGCCAATTTTGGCTAGCATTGTCTTTTGACCAGCTGTAGCTTTTAACCCCAAGGAATGAGACATTAAAAAAACTACGCAATTTGGTTGGATGACTAGAATCACACAGAGTAATTTTCATCCAGGCCCTTTCTAGATTGAATTAGAATTTAGAAGTTGATTTTTGTGGGGGAGGAAAACTGGAGAACCCGGAGAAAACCCCTCCATGGCATGGGGGAGAACCAACAAACACTGTACTCACATACGATGAGTCTGAGGATTGAACCCCGGTTGCATTGGTGAGAGGTGAGCACTCTCACCATTATGCCACCCATGCTTCCCAACATAGATTTTGTAGCATGTTCTGAAGAGTTTCCCTCTGCTCAATTTTTTTTTCTTCTATAAATGATGGAGTTTTTATTTTAAATATTTCTCTAGGTGTATACAAATCCATATGATTATGGACGATGGGAGAACTGGAAGCTGCTGTTAGGAATTGTCAACGGCAGGTATGAAGCAAGGAATGACTGTCAATCAAACTACAATGGTTTACTAAAAAAATATAATTTTAACTCTAGGTCCTGGGCAAGTGTACTGTGGCCTTCATCACATCACCCATATGGTGATGGTCTAACATGGAAACCACCACAAAAATCGTTCAAGATTTCAGGAAGAAGAAATTTTTTACCCGTATGAGTGTACTAGCAGTTAGAGTAGAATAGGAAATGCTTTATTTGTATTATTGATATTTTTATCAAAAAATAGAATTATGAAATCAAGATGATTGAGTAGAACACTAGACAATAATTGTACATTGTAAGAATATTTAACATAGACCACTTTTTAAATTTTTCTGTATATTAAGAATAATAGGATATGAAAGAAAAAAATTATCGTTGGAATTTGGATTATTTCTTTCATGTTTTCCTTTCAGCAATGCATGCATTCAAACTACCCTGTAATTGTTCAAACTACCCTGTAATTGTGAGACAAAACTATAGCAGAAGCATATTATGCAATATGTACAAAAGGAATGCAGTAAACAAAAAGAAAAACTAAATTTCTATTGCTATTTATTTAGTCTATGTTTTCCCATTTTATTACGGTTTCCTTATCTAAGGCTTTTATATACTTATTTCAATAAAGTTAGTCACCTGAAAAGCTATAAAGCTGAGGCCGACAAGGATTATGGGAAGATACATTTTACATGTTTCAACCGCTTGATAACTGTTGATGGGCTTGCACATCTTTTACCAGTAACAGTCTCACCTCTCCTGAGCATCCTCAAGCTCAGTACAGTTTGTATCAAAAAAGCTTTACTTGTTTGAAATGAATTGTTTCCCATGATCCTCAGTGATCTCAGCTTTCTAGGTTTTTGTTGACTAACTTCATTGAAATAAATATATCAATATTTGATTGCAAAATATTATATAGCCACTATCGTTTGTCATTATCATCAGCTTCCAGTGGTTATTTTCTAAGGCCGAATGTCAGTCATATTTATTTATTCAGCTATCACTCGTTTTACCATTTCCAAAGCCATTTCTCCAGCATCAGCAGGAACCATATGACCAGCCTTAAGAATGTAATACAGCTCTAAATTAGCATATTTCTTTAGAAAAGCACCAGTGTTTTTTGTTTTGACACCAGAAGGAGGGTACAGTGGTACTCTAGGAGATTTTAGAAACTCTGGTAAAAATGACCAATCCAGTTTCTTGATCCACTCTTCAGCTCCGGGTGTGTCACAAATCATATCCAACTGTCCTTGGTAAATTACAACCTGTAACCCACCAGAAAGTAGCAAAGCAACATCTTGGATAACTGGCTTCATAAAGTCAATACTTTGATAAATGAAGACCTCACCAGATTGGCCCCCCCAGGTGACRTTAGGTGGTATTATACCAAGCTTCTTTCTGATTGGCCCATTCATTAGGTCTGATAGAGACTCTGTATAAAGTCTGCCGACGTGCGTAGCATATAATCTATCAAGGTTTCTATCACCAAGAGACTGGAGCATCATGGCAAATGGAGGAGCATTATGAAGGAGAATGTTATAGACATCTACATTATCAGTGGTTTTTGCTATCATGCCTTCGGTCTGACTCCACAAATTTGTTGCTTCTTGGTATTGCTTCATTGCCACTGCTTTTGCAGTGGCATTTGCCAATGCATTCACTTTTGCAAGACTATCCTCATCCAGTAAGGAAACAGAGTACAAATAAGGACCCCAAGTAAGAACTGAGTCAATGGGGGAAATCCAGGAATCTCCAAGAGCTACTCCTTTAAAATCACACTTAATTTCTCTTGCAATAATAGCTTTGTACAAAGTGACACCAAAAGCAGAAGTCATTTTTCCACCGTATGACTCACAGAAGATATAAAATGGTACATTTTGAAACACAGGCATTGTATCGAGGAAAGACTTGAACATGGTCAACAGATCATCTGCTATACCTGTGAAAATAGCATGAACAATAAGAAGGGAGTAGTCAGATAAATAGGTAAAAAAGAGGGGGTCGGGCTCTTCAAATTTTCTGGAGACAATGGGTGGTGGGTGCCTGCTAGATTGTACCCCAGTTATTCACTTGGCGAAAACTCTCAACAGTCTTACCACTAGTCAATATAAAATATTAATAATAATAATAATAAATAATAATAACCACAGCAATAATAATTAAAATTAATATAAGCCCAATTCATTTGGTTGCAATGTCTTCCCATTTCAGATGCTTGACTATCAAGAGTAAACAATGAGATCATACTCGAGAGAATGATGTGATTTGAAATGCGGAAAAAATGGATAAGCAGTATCCCTCCCTGCCATAACAAACATTACAGTAGAAACTAAATATATTCAGGTTTAAATCTTACATGGGTTTAAAAAAAGCGGAATTGAAAGTGCGTACAATACGCATATACTTTAAAATGTATTTCACCGAGAGTTCATATTTTAGTCAGGTGATTGTCCCATGACTTCACTTCATGACAATAATTCTTTTCGAAAAAAGAATTATATCCTGAATTACAAATTCGAATAAGTTTTTAATTTYTTTTCAGATAAGAAATAAATAATACTCGATTTTTTTCTCATAAGCTTTTCTACGCTCATACAATCTCATTATGATTGTTACAGTAATACTACTAGCAGACTGTACCTGAAACGTTTGTGGTGTAAGCACTTTTGTCGGTCACGTAACTGAAGCCACTACCCACAGGATTATCAACGAAGAGAACGTTAGCTACACTAGTCCAACTAGTGTTCCTTGGTTTTAAGTTTACATCTAGTGGGCCTAGTTCTTCAAAGTTTCCATAGCCTGTAGAAGACCCACCAGGACCTCCCTGAAGCCACATGATTAAGGGTTTAGTTGCTCGTTGTGATGGATCGCCTTCAGCACCGTAGAGCCACCAAAACATAAATGCATTGTCCCTGACTTTAACGTAGTTCCACTTTTCATCTGGTATGTCTGCCTTGAAGCGCTTAGCTTGAGTACTGGTAAGACAAATAGCACTAAGTACTACAAATATGAAGGATAAAGTTAAGACAGACGCCATGATGCATTTGTCTTCGTGACTGGAAAGTGCCTTATCCACAGGAAACCCAACAACACCACACCTATCACGTGATGGGGTGCAACCAAACTGATAGCTTGAAGATAGGGTGTGGCTTGCTAGTCATGTAATCAATCTCTTGGGCAAGTCTTTTTCAACTCCCCCTTATTTTAAACTGAACTGAAAACTCAGCTAATTTATTTAAACTGGCTTAGAATTCGTAACATATTTGTAATTTGCAATCTTTTTTTCTCTTACTTATTTTCTTATTTTCAGGTCTTAGAACAGAACTGTATAAGCACTTTACAAATATGTTATCATTCTCATTCTCATTTGCCACACCTTGCTGTTAGAGATGCTTGTAGAAAGCTTGTTCAATATCATTTCATGACTAATAAAAGATTTGTGCCTGGAACATTCACCCAACTCCATCAAGTTGATCTGAACCCTGAAACAACTGCTTAGCTAATCTAGGTCAGGGAACAGTTAACTCACAGATCGCAATGTAGGATACAAGTCATCAAGGGACGGAAACTGGAAAACCTTTATAAAAACCATTGAATGAAGATAGAGAATATAAACAAAACTGTTTACATGTGACATCATTGAAGTCCTAGCCTGCACAGTACCCCTTAATGAGCGTTGGGTTGGGTATCGGAGGGGGAATCTGAATCCTAACTCCACAATTACTGGGGGCCACTCTGCAGGCTATTAAAGTCCAGGAATCTAATTATTGCTAAAAGTATACTCGTAGCACAAGTAGTACCAATCAGAAATAATTCTTATGTTTTTTTACAAAGTTATCAGAAGAAAATTTTAAAACTAGGTAATCTAAATTTACAGTCAAACTTAGAAGAAAACCTTAAAAATTATTAATGGCTTTTGCAACATGTGGTACAAAACGGCAGAATGATTCCTATAATGTATCCATTAGTATTGAATTAAATCTTGCACATGATTGGTCAGAACAAAATAAACATTCCAGACATGTCAGTGTTCACAGTTTTCTTAGTTTGACTGTAATTAAAATCTGTAATGATGGTTTTAACAATTTTCTTGTACAATATCCTATTATTTTGTCAATATTCCAAAAGTTATTTTTATAGATAAATATAGGTATTTGATGGCAAAGTTTGTTTTTTTGAGTTTAGTTTGTTAAATAAGCAAGTGCTTCAACAACATCTCCTTTATGTTCTCTCAGGGTTCTCTCTGCTACAGATCGAGGAATTTCCATCTCATCAACCTTAAATCAAACAGAAATTAAAATAGAATAACATATTTGCAGAGTAAACTACCCTTGTTCCTACAGACAAACTGGTGTCTCAGAATAAGCATATTAACCCATATTGGTGTAGATGTTTTAAAAAAAATCAGAATTCACTTACAATTAGGTCTACATCGTCTTTCTTGATAACAACTCTAGCTAATTCCTTTTCTCTGAAACAACAAGAAGAAAAATCAATACTTAGGAGGGTAGTGAGTGCCCAACTAACAGTGACCCTCTCCATAAGAATCTTAAAATATAAATAATGGAAGGAACATTACTACAGCAAAGGCCAATTTCAATAAAATTATACCTATGATATATACTAGTTACACAATGGTCTTGTGTGGCATATCATGGAATTCCCACAACACTCTATTGTATTTTCTAGTATACACAGGAGCCGAGCAAGTTTGCTAAGAAAATACAAGTTACAAGTAGGATATTCCAAGGTGTGCCATGAGACTAGAAAGCATTGTATAGCTATTTTTTACACACCATTGAAAATACACACACACTGGGTGCAGTGGGCATTGCAGACCACTGTGGGACTGTTTTAAGGGACGATATAATATGTCCCCTTAAACAGTCCCATGATGCACTGCAATGCTAATTCATCAAGTTTTTTCCTCGACCTCTCTATGCCTAATACATTACAGATGCTATACAAACAGGTTTACACATATATACCTTAAGGCTTGGTCAGCTTTTTCCTTTTGATGCCTTCCTTCAACTAAATTTAATGCCTATAAAAGATAAGGTTATAAGTTATAATCATTACAAAACAAGCTTATCACTAACTACGCTATACGTATCCTGATGACCACGTTCTGGCCGTATCTGGGGTCTTAGAGATTTGAAGACTAACCTTGTTTTGCTGAGGTTAAAAAATAGGGATAATATTTTGAGACATATAAAGTAATACTTACGGTTCCTATATCTGCCTGTATTTCAGTTTCTTCAGCATAATCTGTCACTCTTTCGAGATCTGCCGAAGTTTGTAAATCGTGTCTTTTATGAGCAGGTTCCACCATCTTGAATTTGATTGACCGAGCGGTAAAAAAGGAGAATTGGAATCTAGATTGGTACTGAGGCCACTGGGCCGCGCCGGAGACATTGCGCAGTCCCACCCTCCCCTCCCCTAAAAAGTGAAGGTATGTTGGTCATTAATCAGTAATACCTCATCACCTTCTGCTTGTCTCTGATTGGTAAGACAACGTAGTGTGAACGGATAGACTATGACATCGCAGATTTTCAGTTCGTAATCTTTTGGGTATCATTTTTCAATTCCCTATATCGTATGTTGTGTTGTGTGGTGAGTGATTACTTTTGTTTGTCATTTCTTCTCGGCTTAATTCCATCTCTTCCCATCCTTCCCGAGCCCCATTCTCACACCCTGCACCCTTCAATCGGAAGGGGACTTACCTATCCGACGTCGAAAACGCCTTTTATGCCTCTTACTAAACCCGTTATTGACCATAGATTATTATTGTGATCCAATTAATGTGCCCTAAAAACTGGACCAACACTAACAACGTAATGTTGACCGGATGCCGTCAGTGATGCAAGTCGTAGCCTGCGTGCAGCCCGACTTTAACTCTGGTTAAGGAACACGAGGGTTTGTGTTTAGCTGCACGCGTAACTCTTTGGTTCGAGTCCGTCACGCTCCGCAACCAATAATGTTTAACCTTTGATGAAAACATTAAAATTCCCCCGTAAGACGGAAATATTACGCGCCAATTTACCCCGTTTTTATCTCAAATGCTATCAATCTCGCWGACACTAATGGATGAAAATGCAAAGGTATCATTTTACTCATCCTCGGCTCCACACAACAAAATATTATGCATTTACGAGCAGAAGSTAAGATTCAGAATCATTCGATAATGATCAGGAGTACATTCATGACATTATTGCAATCGGAAGAAAAACTCATTTTGCTATTTTTTTCATTTTTTTCAATTAAAATTTCCATTGAATAATTGACTTGCTGGGCCGTGCCCGTGGGCTCGGGTCATGACGTCATATCCCTTCAAGATGGCCACCCCACGAACAGGAAATAAAATCAATCCAGTACAGAAAAAATACGCACCAAAACATGGCCTCTGTTTGAAAGGCAAACAAAACAAACGAGCTAAAATGGAGGGTAAAGAAACCATGAAGTGGGATGCTTCTGCTTTGAAGGTTAGTTCAATGATCAGCGACAGCAATGAAAGGAATATTTTGGCGGGAGGACAAACGTTATTGAGATAAATGTACAGTTCGCCATGTTGGCCAACGAATGGCTACGCTTGGCGGGTCTCCCAAGACTTCTCTCATTATTTTACACCCCTAAATTTATACGTTCTGTACCTTAATATACATAGAAGCAGTACAAATACATGCGTAAAGTATATTTTAACAAGCTGTCGAAAATATAATAGCGATAAGCTCAGTAAATACAATCTGGTTCTGTTCGCGTGAGTTGGATGGACATGACCGATCCAGTGAAAAATTTTTGTTTAAAAATATACCACTTGATTTTGTAAAAAATGTGTTTCAACATGTATCGAGGTTAATTCCTTTGTTTCTTTTATCTTTATTCTGATAAATAATTCGATAGATAACATAAACAGATCTCGTGGATTCGAGGCAACAAATGTTGTCTTCAATAAAAAAAGTGAAAGCCTTTTCTTTCGTTTTAAAATTCTTTGTTTCGTCGTATCGTAATCTTGTTTTTTATTAATAGGTCATCAGTGTCAAATTTTTCACTTTTCGTCCTAGTACTAAGCTTTCTTAATTAAAACCTCAAAATCAAACCCATATTTATACTTGATTATTGGATATCTTGCCGTGAATATCTCRGAATGACTCACTTACATTGTTATCTTTCCATAAACAAAAAGCATAACTTATATTTTTATTCTATTATAAAGCCTAATTCCTGGGTGTCAAACCTTTAGATTTTTACGGAACGACAAGCTCATCTTTTATAATCCCGGATTTGAAAGGCAGAAAGAAAGAAAACCTACATTTTTGCCATTAAATAAACACAGTTTTATTTCCTACATTACGAGTTTACCGTCTTAATTTTCTCCTAGAAATAACTACAAGATCTTAGCCTCATAATTTCTGTAATTATTATTTATCTAAACTAAAATAAAGGTTAATTATCCTGTGAAGAAACGTTTTACATTCTAATCCACATTATTTCCAAGTACATAAATTGCCTTCATTAATATTTCATCTGCCATGTGTACAGTGATTGTACAAGCGTCATTTTATATTGATTTTTCCATTTTGTAAAACTACACTTCAAGGGCTTAAAATCTTTCGCTTTTGTCTTGATTGCCAAAGTTTTGACAGGATCTTAATCGTTTGGCAGAAATATCAAGGTGTAATGTAAGGGGATAAAAGATGTCATAGTGGAAGCCCTACAAACACTTTATGTATAGGGTGTACCACTCTTTTACATAAACATGTATTACAAGAGGTCGTTTCCGGTTTTATTTTTCGCCACTGACCTAATATGGATAAATTACCGCTACTTCCTGTTTAGGGATTCCACAGTTTGAAACCAATAAAAAGAAAAAAATAATAAAAAACATAAAATTGTAATGAAGAAATTCCTCCTAAAGTTTAAAAATCAATGCATTATAAATTACTTTATGCTATTTTACTTTATGCTAGTTTCTTCTGAATTCCTAGAGCAAGTAAGTAAAATGAAAAAAAATATGAACATCAAATTCCCACTTAATTTGTAAAATGGAATTTGGATGGTTAAATAATCCAAATAAGTCATGTTTTAGTTTTAATTTGTCATGTTTATATTAACTCAGGATTGATTTTACATAAAGCCTAATTACCTTGAATATTCTCTTTTGTCAAAAAAAGAAATGAGCCAAAAAAAATCAGAGAAGTGCTTTCAAAACAATATGTTTTATGAATAATGGAAAAAAATCCAACTGTGAGTGTGTTATCAGTAATATCTTCAAATCCTTGTACTGTAATTTGGGAACAAACATATCTGATTTGTCTGAGCACATTGAAGTGARAAGATTTTCCTCTCTGTTACATAGTTCATAGTTCATGTTAAACCTTTCCTTTATAATATAAAAATCATTTTGTATAGCTTTGTTCCCTATACCGTCCTACATATGGAGGCATCACTATAACTAAACCTTCTAAAGAACTCCATTAGAGGTGACAACAAAGACTGAGCACCAGCTTGTGAACAAGCAGTGTGTATATTCAGTTTTTGTACAACTTTTTGCCAATGGATAGGTCTTAGAGTTGTTACATCATATCAAATTACGGCAGTCACTATGCTGGCTTGCTCTGTGATTGGATTACTCTCATCAAAGAGAAAAAAAGCAAAGAAAATTGAAGATGAGTATGTGGCTGTTGACAGTGAACCAACAAAAACAGTCTTCAAGGTACTTGAGTTTGAACAGTATTACACTTATTACTTAAAAGCATTGTGAATTTCTGTCAATGTACGATATACTAAGTCATCTAATGGTTACTTTCACTGTCAAGTTAATATAGATCAGTACACACACATCCTATTAATCCACTTCCACCAATTCCTAAAATGCAATATAAAAAGGTGTGATAATCTGTACTAAATATCCCAAACTCTTCCTCTTCATTATTTCATGATTTCCCCCCTGCTTTATCAAGAAGATAAGAAGAAGGCTGATTTTTCATCTTTAATCTATTGTAAATTACAGGCAAACCCTTCAATACTATATCAAGGTTAAATCTTTGTTAAATTATATCTGTTGTCAAGATTTCTCCTTCTGTTCTGTAGTGTTTTTCACAGTTTTTTGTTCATGATAACTAAATTTCTTTATTATGATAATTTCTCTCAAAAATGCTTCAAGAAGTTCTTAAGAGATTTATACTGTATTCATACTACTAAAACTTTTTAAGAAACAAGATACCCCTTCATGATCATAAGGTGTACAGTTAGTAGAAGATAAGAGTTTTGATTCAACAGGTTTTAGTTGGCCATCTGTTACATGAGGTGACTCTAGTACTTATTAGTTTTACATCCCAAATAAGGGTTTATTTTGATTTCAAGGTTCTATAAACACAAAGAAAGCCAATATACATTTTGTTGAACAATACCACAACGCAAGGTGTTAATTATTCATGTATTCTCTAGACGTTTAAACTTTAATTGAAACATGTTTTGATTATTTCTAGAGTTGTAGGTAATGAATTCTTTATACTATTATCATTATTGACAGAGGTGTGCAGTGCAATAGTAGAGGTATATCTCCGTAAATAGAATTAACCAGATTTTGATAGATTTTCCCACAGTGCCCTATTTTATGATAACATTAAAACTATGCACTCATTCATTAAAAGTACAGCTATCCAAAAGTGTTTAAGTTGACAGAAAGGCATATTTTTAGAACCCCAGTCTTTAGATATCTCATTCTGTAATATCATCATACTTACAGTAGTTCATAGCGAAGTTCTAATGTGATGAACTTGTCCTTTATTTGATTGTTGCACTTTTTACTCCCTCTACTTATTCTTTCATTAATTCCTCCCTCCCTTCCTTTCTTCCATCCTTTATTTTATCCCTCCCTTCCTTCCTTCCTTTTATTCTCAAAAATAGTTTGAACAGTTTCCCATAATGCAGTTGACATGCACCAAACATAAAAATCAACCAAAAACAATATAATATTTTACAGGAATTAGATGACTCTGAAATACAAAAGAAGATAGATTATGAAGTACGCATGCGGGATGGAACCATGCGATTGCTGTCAGCATCACATGAGGAGGCACAAGCCCTTGAAGCATCTAAAAACCTGCACACTATAAACTCAAGAATATTAGCTTTGATGAGCTTATTACAAAGGCACAGAGCAAAGTCAGTAAACAGGAGAGTTAGACTAAGAGAACCAAGGTATAATTATGATAATACTGGTATATTTGAATGAAAGATAGATGCCTCCTCAAATATCATTATCTTTTAATGTAACTATTATTTTAAAGATACTGATAGTTGAGGAGGCAGCTATCTTCCATTTAAAATAGATAATGGCAGCCAATTCAAGACGACCAGAACAATACAATCATTTTACATGAAAAATAATTCAATTGCCAACAAAAAAGGGATGGACCCATACTTAATAAAATGTATTAATTGCGTCAGTGCTTTCATGTACAGAAGTGTGTCTAGTAATTTTTTTGAAGTTCATTATTTTAGTAGCAGATAATGCAGTGACTTTATTATATATTTGTTGACAGTTTGGAAACGGACAGAGATGAAGCAGATGGTGTGAAAGAACCTTGTAAAGCTAAGGTTTCATTATCAGGTAATTATTATTACCTATCATTTGTAGTAATATTTAAGTTTATTCAATTATTGTTAGAGTGTAAATTGTTGTGATTTTGTAACTATTGCTTTTAATTCATTTTTAATCTTATTAGATATTAGAATTCCTTTAATGTGGACACAAGATGACCACCAGAAAGCCAAGACAGGTAAATGTTACCATATGAATGTTATTGATAATTCCATTCATCACATCACATCACATCCATCTATCCTTTCCCACTCATCCATCCATCCTTCATTTAAGGCCTCTATCATTCTCATTTCATCCCATCTCACTTATCAATCCATCTATTGCATTCATCTATTCCATTCTACCCATCCATTCACACTTGACCATGAAAAAATAGATTTTACATCATTTGATGTATGTTTATGTTTTCTCCAGAACAACACATATATTATGTGTTCTGTCTGCTGAAGATGGACGGGCAAGTACTAGACACATCAATGGTAGAAACAGATGAATCTGAAACAGATGTCACCTTTGATGACATAATAGTCTTGTAAGTAACAATTCTATAATTGGGAACCAACAGTAGTTCCACAGAGTGGCTTTTCTTACATTGGATTTCAAATAAAATTTAGAAGTTGGTTTTCTCAAAGCACAGAAGAGAACTAACAAGTAACAATACTCACATACAATGCAGAGTCTAGGGATTGAACCCAAGTAACCTATAAAGAGGCAAGCGCTCTCACTGCTATCAATTCTTGCGTCCTTTCCGACTCTACTCCATTTTATTCCATTGCCTATTGCATTACACTTCTACTAGTAGGGGTCAAAACATGTAATTGGAGTGAAAGGTTGGATAAGGCTTGGAGGGGTAATGGGATGGGAGGGGTATAAACAGGTTTTGAGAACTACCTATACTCAGTGTAGAATTCTTCATTTTTTCTGTGTTGCAGTGAAAATGTCAGCTCAGACTTCAAACTTGACCTGGAGATTTACTACACAGTGTCATCAGATAGTGCAGCTAATAGAAATTCCCATGCAAGGAGGCAAGTGAAATGGACATCATCATCAAGAGAAGCTATGAAATTCGTCCTGGCAGGACACACCCACCTCAATGTTGATCACCTTGACGACAAAATCAAAACATATGACCTTAAGACTGGTAAGTGTTAGAACCTTTAATCTAAACTTGAACATTTGAAAACATTTCTTTTGTTTGACTTGATGRATTCTGGTAAAATATAAATAAGATAAATTAACTTTGTTTATAGAGGATGACACTTGACAGTAATTCAGCTGATAAACTCATGATCGTTTTTTAACGTCTCTAGTTAATTAGGGAGGGGACCACCATTAACGTGGTCATCCGAGCCATGTGAAGGTCTTACCATTTGCAGAGGAGTTTCATGGCGTTTACTGTTATTATCAATTCCCAAGCATGTGAAAGTATCACTATCTATCTTCATGGCTCAATTGCTAATTTGCATCATTCATTTTCTGTTGCTAGGCCTTGTTGGTGCCAGTTTCTCAGCCTCAACTGTATCAACAGAAGAAGTTCACRCACCTGAGCTGGCTCTATGGGGGCAGGTGTGTTGCCGACTTGCCGCACGGCCTGATAGCATTGGAGAGGATAACATGAAGGGGTTCTTAGATGTACAGGTACATAATATAATATAATACATACATTCTAAAACTATCAGAATAGCATGGCTGTTGAAAGAAGGGAAAGAAAAATGAGAGGGAGAAATAAAGAAAGAGAAAACATTTATGTTGTCTGGACATTTTGGTTGCTAGTATATTGTCTTGTGTATAATTAATATTATAATATTGTACTTTTACCTTATACTGACTGCAATGTACTTTTTTCAGTGCTTAAATAATGGTCGCAACACCTGGTCAAGAATGTGGTGTGTCCTGCGACAATCTTCTATTGCCTGCTGGGAGAATGAAGCAGATGAACAAACTAGTCCACCCAAAGAAACGATTGAAATTAAAATGGTGGGTGCATCTTCTGATATTAATGGACGAAGCATCTCATGTGGGGCAGTTTGATGAGTCTTTCATTCAATGGTTTTTCTTCATGTTCTGTAGTTAATCTCCCACCGCAAAACCAACACTCTAGATTCAAGTTTAATGTATGAGTTAGCCATGCCCTGACTTAGATCAGCCCCAAGAGGTTGTTTTGGGGTTCAATCTGTGTGTTAGCCATGCCCTTACTTAGATCAGCCCAGATGTTGTTTCAAGGTTCAATCTGTGAGTTAGCCATGCCCTGACTTAGATCAGCCCAGAGGTTGTTTCAGGGTTTGATAAGGTGAGTTAGCCATGCCCTGACTTAGATCAGCCCAGAGGTTGTTTCAGGGTTTAATCTGTGAGTTAGCCTTGCCCTGACTTAGATCAGCCCAGAAGTTGTTTCAGGGTTCCATCTGTGATTTAGCGTTCCAGAAACTAAACTGAATCTTCTTTTTTTGTTGCAGAATATGGAGTTGAAGGACTCCCTAACACCAACACTCAAAGACAAGCACATTATTATTCTTACCAGTGCTTCACATGAAAAAGAACCAGTTTTATCAGCAGCGACACAAGATGATTTCATCAAATGGAAGATGGCTTTAGAACAAGCAATACATAATGTTACAGCGTGGAAAAAGGCTTGTAAAACTGAAATGAAAATTGAAAACCCTTCATCTCGCAAGGTGTTCTTACCACCCAAGAAATTGTACGATGCTGTGGAAGTAACTCTCTCCCCATTGGGTAGGTGGTTTGTATTATTTTATTGTTGGAAATCAATTAATGGGATGGTAATAGGAATATTGAAATTGGAAATGAATAGTGAATAATGAATTAGGATAATTGGATGGATGGATTAATGAATAAATGGATGGCAAATATGAACAAGTGAATGGAAGAATTCATGAATAGATTAAAAAATGAATGAGACAGAGTGAATGGATAGATGAAAGAAGGAATGAATGAGAGAATTGGTAAAAAATTAATAAATGAATAAATGGATAAAATGAGAAAGAAAGTGAGAATAAATGAGTGAATGAACAGATGGATGAATGAGAGTGAGTAAAAGATGAGAAAATGGACAAATAATGAATGACCTGCTTTGATAACTGTCAATGAACGAATGAGTTAGGAGTAAAATATGAGAAAGTAAAAATCTCTCAAATCTATCATAATATTATCTTAAAAAACCTCTCACTTATCAAATTACCTCAATTCTGTCTGTCCACTATACGCATTATCTGTTCGCATTACCATTACAATTACTCTTACAAGCCTATTTTATAATATATTGAGTTTCTTAGCTGCTTGGTAAAATAGTAACAGCTGTCTTGTGGTTTTCTTAGATTGACGTAGAGTTGTCTGATGACTGGTCAGTTTGTAAGTCTGCTCTTTTTGTCACTTCATCCAGTCATCAGTCATCCTCGGGAACCCAGGGGTAAAGTTCTGTCGCTCATTTCTCGCTCCCAGAAAAAAAACACCTATGGGTACAAAATCTGTTAGGGCTTGTTCTGGAAGTCCAAATTCAAAATAACACTGTCACATGTTTTTTGGCATATACTTCATGCTTGTTGGTCAAACCAATCAGAAAAGAGATTAAGTCAGACTTCCAAAACAATTTCTAACAGACTTCGTGCCCAGGGGTATTCTTTCTGGAGGCAAAAAAAGGAGAGACAGAATTTTACCCCTTGGCTCCCGAGGATGGTCATAAGTTTACATTCATCAACTGTCATTGCAATACTGTTGCATCACACACACACATGCAAAAATAGACCATCACATATACCCATTCATAACTATCTTTAGATAAGCATTCTTTCCTCTATTCTTCCATTCTGCCCTCTTGGGACTTATTTGTATTATTTGTGGGCATTGTAGCATAGCAACAAGTACTCACAGAACTAGTAAATAGGAAAGTATGACCCCAGTGGTTACTCAGTTTTATATAACATACAAATTAGAATCTCTAGTGAGTGGAGGGGGTGGTGGTGGGGGTGTACTCGGTGGTGGTGG